GATTTTTTGGAAACTAAGCAGCTGGCTTTTGCACCACAAAGCCAGCTACTTTTCTCTCTACAAAGGCCACGTATTTTCCCTTCTATTTTGTCACATACTGCAAAACAGCTAGGGTTAGGATCATATAAATAGTTAGGTTAGGCTTTTAATTAGACCAATAATAAAGCTAAATCGACAAGATTCAAATCCATCCAAGAGGAATATAAATGGGTCGGGTAGAGCTTTTGGACTTGGTTGTTCGTATTTATTTCATTCATCGACTTAAGCTTATGAAATATATATTTGTATATTAATATCATAACCCGAGATTTATTGAGTATCAAAATTTAACATTCTTGAATGTGCATGAAAAAATATATTGTGAGATATATTCCGACATTAAATATCATTTGTTCTTGTGCTTGATTAATGGTTTAAAGCAAAAATTGTGAACAATGGTGCAAAACTAGTTAAAATTATGGAAAGTACATGGTGTTGACGTTAGATTGAGGTAAACACTAAGAGTTAATCCATTTGTCCAGAAGAAAGTTTCACAAAAGATTGTCAGAATACTCTTATGGCATGGGACATATTGTAAAAAAAAAATTGTCACAAAATACCCCACCCACCCCCTATGTGTGTGTTCTGGCAGAGAAACCTCTTGTACATCAAGCAAAACTGAAACACTAAATTGGGGATACCGGAAATATCCATGGAACTTCGCAAGCTAATGATTTTTTATTTATTATTTTATTATTATTTTTTTTAAAGGAAGCAAGTTTGTTCTTAAGCATAGCGATACCTAATAATCATTTTGTAGAGATATTATATTATTGTTATTGTTGCATTATTTAACAATATTATCATTAAGTTCTTTTCCAACTTCAACAGTTATTTTAAAGTACTTCTAGCTCTTTTTGGGTAGCTTTCTTCACATTTTAAGTTGGTCAACTTCATTATTTGTCAAATATTTTATTAAATTCACAATTTTATCCACTTTTAATCACAATTTAATAAGACTCACAAAGTTATAATCTATAAAAAGCTTTGTCAAACAGTGGCTTTATTATTTTATTATTTTCAAAGGACGTGTAACAATTAAGAATTTATATGGTTTTTAGGTATTTTTCACCATTTAAGAATTTTTCACCATCTCTAACTAGGTACGATCTTTTTCATGTTCCTGCAGTACTATTGCAAAAAGAAGCAGAAGCAATAAAACGTGTATCACAACTTTTTAAACCATCTCTATCTCACTTGTAGGACTTGGTTTCCAAGTATGGATATATGCAACTACGTGGTCCGTTTCACCATAGAGATGTTAGCGTATGTATGGATCCATCGATCTGTCTCCATTTCAGCCATAGAGATCATGTGGTTTCCATGTATTGATCCACTCAATAATTTTTAAGTCCTAACTCAATAATTAGTTTTGATTATTATGCAATGTTAAAAATGATATAGTATTCAATTAATTCGATAAACCTCACAATAAAAGAGTTTTGTAGCAATCAACGAACATAAATTAGAGCACTCAAAGTACGCCTCACGAATGATCGTTTTCTTTAGTTTCACTCTCAATTTTCTTTCTTTGTCCCGACAATCTCTTCGTTCTCACTTTCATTTTTTATTCTCTTTCTACAAAAAAACTAATACAAGCAATGCAGATGGACACACTCATTTTCCTTTCGTATTCTTTCTCTCTTCTTTCTTTACGTTCCGCAGCCTTTTTATTTACTCTTTTATGTGTATATTCTTCTCTATATCACGTGAGTTAATTTATAATGCAGTCCAAAATCAAATTTGATAAGTTACAATGGTTAGCTGCTCCCATAATTCGTTCTTTCATGTTTTGACTTCTGTCTATAAAGATTCAGATTACCTAAAGCTCGAGATTACAATATTTACGAGTTGCTATGTCATAACTCGAAGCAAGATTTCAAACATTGTCTTAGTGACTAATGCTGAGTTCTAAAGGAAGGAAAATATTTATTTCAAATTCATGTTACCTTGCCAAATATGTGTACATAACCATTCAAAACACGGAACGACCATTAATTTGACAACTCACTAGCTAGAATTCGACTCCACAATAGGGACTTATTCAAACACTACATATTAATTTTTATCTGACTCAAAACAGACAAAACTAGATTTTTAACAATACTAACAGACCCTGCAATGAATTTTAAATTTGAATTTGTTGATAAATGTCTGAAGACAATCGGGGTTTTGCTAGTGCAACCAATGGTTTGGCTCGTAAGAGATCACACTCAGACTCAGTTAAGTCAATACTTGTCACATCAGGTGGAGCGTTCCAAGTGAATCCATGAATAAGTCTAGCAAATAACATTGTGGTCAAGGTAGAACCAAGCACAACACCGGCACATCCTCGCTTTCCAATGCTAAATGATAACATGTTCAATTCAGAATCAACGAGAACAACCACCGAGCCATCATCTTTGAGGTGACGCTCGGGCTTATACTTCAGAGGATCTTCCCATATTCTTGGATTTCGACCAAGACCTGTACGACTCAACATTACGTGACTACCTTTTGGAATAGAGTATCCAGCTACAGTTGTATCTTCCATAGATACATGTGGAACGTTAAAAGGTGCTATTGGATGGAGTCTAAATGCCTCTTTTGCACACGCCTTCACATAGTTCAGTTTATTTAAATCTGATTCTTGAACTAGTCTGTTCCTTCCAACCACTAAGTCCAATTCTGCAGTCGCCCTTTTCAAAATCTGGGGTTGATTTATCATCTCTGCAAGAGCCCACTCAAAAGCATTTGATGGATTATCCACTGTGGCTATCATCATTCCTGCAAATATCAATTATATAGTAGAAAAATAAGATTTTTAAAGGGTTATCAATGAAAGTAATTAATAAAAATATAATAATAAACTTATCAAGAATCAATTTTAAGAGTAAATTGTACATTATGTTTTTAATATAATCATTGGTTTTCATTAATATCATAGTGACGTGGTCGATTAATTTCGTATAGATAGGAATGACAAATTCATATTGGGGTTCTAAACTAGGTGAAAATGTGAGAGCTATAGTAGATTTGAATAGGTTAGGGCATTCTTACAATAATTTGTGCTTTGATCTCTTCAATCATCAAAAGCGGAGCACCTTTTGAGTCCTTGAGGTTTATCAAAACATCAAGAATATCCTCTTCATTTTCTCTCAGCCCCTTTTTCCAGGTCTGAATCCTACCATGTATTTCGGGGTCATGGAATTTAGATAGACTCCCAATAGCCTTTTTTAGGATCCCTTTATAACCATCGAAATCAAAAAACTCCAACCACGGAACATAATCTGAAATGCTGAACCCAAAGAGAGAGGAAAGAATTTTGAAGAGTGCAGCAACATGTTCTTCCTCTTCGGTGCCTGGCCCTCCATCTTCCATACCATTTCCAAAGTACCTTTTGCCGAATATCATCCTTCTGATAACGTTGCCACAGTACTGTTGTGCTGCGACTCTAACGTTCACCAAACCAACACCTTCCGAAGAATTCTTGCACTGGTTATAGACATAACGAACAAGATTATCAGCTTCTTCCATTCTTTTATCGTGAAGCCAACGGTGCTTTGCTGGTGAAAGTACGTGTACAGCAAGAACTCCCCTCATTTTCTTCCACTGATCACCCATAGGTGAAAGTATTGCAGTTAAGTACCCACTGCTACATAATCTTGCAGACATGCAATGAGGTCTTGATGCAAAAATAATATCCTGTTTCTTCAAGAACTCTCGTGCAAGTTCAGGAGAAGTGACAGGAATGACGTGAACCCCACCAAGAAGGATACAAGCAATTTCAGTGTGCATATCATCCATCATCTTGTGAATCCATTGGAAGGTTGGCTTGTTAATAATCATTTGGATTAGGCACCCAACAATGGGCAAGCCACTCGGCCCAGGAGGAAGTGACCTCCGTTTCGTATATACTGCCCATTTGAAGATGATTATTACAGCAAGCAGAAGGGTTATTAGTATAGCGCAAACGATGTAGAAAGAGCCTGCGTATTTCTCCATTGCTTCTGTGAACTGCAACTTTTTTACAGTTTATGTTAGTGTCATGTGTTGATATTTATCGAAGAGAATCGAGGGTTTATGGCCAAAAACTCTTATGGCTTTAATGATAGTGAAATGCGTTGGTGTTGATCGAAGAGAATCAAGGTTTCTGGCCAAAACTCTTATAGCGAAATGCGTTTATATTGATCGGACAGAAACTTGCCTAATTCCTCCTGTAGCGGCCCACGTAGACAACATGAGTTACATTTGACATTGTTTGTCATCAGATTAATGAAGTACATATTTATTTTGCTTTTATATATGAAAAATGGGGTTTCAGCAATTTTTGGCAAAAATGGTCACAGAACAGGAACTCCACGAACTCCAGGTTTATCGCATTGTATTTATTCAATTTAATTATATCTTCAAATCTTACTTTCCATAGAAAAGAAAATATTCTCACCTAGCAAACTACAAAGCTAGCTAGTTTTTATCTGCACAAAAATGTAGATAGTTACATGAAAAACGATTCAACAATTAATAGAAAATGATTATAATGATATGAAATTGGATAATTCTAAGGATGGCAACGAGTCAAGTCGAGCTTGCTCGCGAGCCGAAAATCAAGGCTCGAACTCGGCTCGAGCTTTTTGAAGACGGGCTTTTTTTGGTTCGAGCCGAGCCAAGCAAAAGTTAGGCCAAAAAATCAAGAGCTCGGGCCTTACTGAGCCAAAACGGGCCGAGCCGAGTCGGCTCTTTTTTTCCCACTCCCCCCCCCCCTAAAAGGCAGTTGATAGCTGTCTT